TTTTTCACCTTCCGGATCAAATCATTGCCTCGCCTCAAGTTAGTGAGTTACGTGGCACATAAACAACACCTACGAACAATGGCTGTTTATCACCTACAAAGATTATCATCCTGACTTACTCTTGGTTGAATGACGAACCAAAATGATTTAAGTAATTCATTAGTCAGCAGCGACAGTGTTCTTTAAGCAGGTCTTAGTTTTTCATTCTTATTAAACTTAACCACAGACGGTAGACTGTAGTTTACACTATGTGATCTCTAAGCTATTGCTATTTTATGAGTAGCTGAACAAGAGCTATGCGATATTGCTTGTCTGTTCCAATACAGCAAGCTTGCGCATAGCAGGCATGTCGGAATAGTAAGCTCGGTCACTCAATTCGATATGCGCTTTACACGTTCAAAGTGCAAAATGGTGGTACAAGACTGTGTTATCAAACCCTGCTCTAAAGCTTGATTGCCCCGCACTGATTGGAGTGGATCAATTCATTTAACCATGCGTTCAACCCAGACAGAACGGTAGTTAGGTTGAGGAAACTCTTACGTACGTCCCACGCTCTAGTAGCATAGTTGGGATCGAAACACATTTAACAGTGAGCTGATGTTTCCATCAAATCGAAAATATGTATATAGTGCTCCACGATTTGACCAGTTACACTCGATGTTTGTGAGATTCTGACTTTGTACGTGGGACACGCCAGTCAAATGGAGGTTTTCGATTTCCAGTGTTTATGTATCTGCGTGCGAGTGAGATGGAGCGACTGTGTTGGTAAAAAGAAGGTGAGCCACCACATATTTGGAAATGATACGGTGGGAAAAGTGTTATCAAACCCGGTTTCCCTGATTGGGATATGCGTTGCGTTTATCTAAGATTGATCTACCGCACCACGCTTTGTTTGCAGTTGTCACTCCAGGTTCGAGGAAATCACGCAGAGGTCAACAGATAATGGGGATGCGAGATATGAAAAAGTCTACTGGGAGGTGGGTAGGAGTAAGTACTCCATAACATTTTTGTTTGGAGACGGTGAAAGATACGACTGAACATCTCAAATCAAATTTATTAAATAGGTTTGCATGTATACAGTGCCGTTCCCTTGCTGTTCCTCTCATTTAAGACAGGCCTAATCCTCTTCTACGTATAATTTTAGCTACTACTGCTACTATCAATACCAAAACCTAGCCGCCTATAGAAAGCAGGTTTACCTAGTTCAATGCAGTACAAGCAATTACCTACACCTCAAAAGCCTCAGTCCGATCTAGGATGGACGTTATCGGCTGGGGTTGATGAAACTTTCCTTCCACCTCGTAAACTGTTCCATGCGGACGAGGCCCGGCCAGTGAAAATTCGTTTTCTTTTCAGTTCGAGGCTGAACAGCCAACAACCTTGGCAATCACGAGCAGGTGGACGAACCATTGAAAGCCCGGCCAAAAGGAATTGGTAAAAACCCTAATTACACACCAACCAAGAAAAAGTCGGAAGAGTTCAACATTCATTTGTGACAGTAGTCACTGGCCTGATTGGACTTCGCAGTGTTTTGAGCACCTTGGACCTTGGAGCTTATCCGAAGAGGTTTGATTAAAGAGACACAAGCACTTAAACTGATTCGTTTTTATTGGTGTTTTTATTTAAAAAGTACATAATTGCATAAAAACATTTCTAGAAAGTGAAAGTGACCGGTCTTAGGGCTATGATAAGGTACAAAGAAATAAGGAAGTTTAGGCAGGTGTGTTGCAGTTTTAGTGTATAACCTTCCAGGGTTATTTCCACCCTCCGTTCGACTGCTTTGTGCATCAGACTTAGTCCAATCAAAGTCTCCGATTTTTAATCCCCTAGAGAAAACTCATGTGGCTCTAACACAACAATCTATTACTATTCCGTTACTTCGAGCAAATTCTGTATTGACGTCTTTTTGTTGTTAACGTTACTTTGCCGAGATTTCTCAGACATGGAAGTTGAATTCCTAAAAATGCTCATATTTATCAAGACTCGTGAACCGCAAAGAGTGACCAGGTTTCTGACTGAGTTTGTCTTTCGCTGTGCTAATTTTATTAGTTCAGTTTCATCGTTTTCATTAACTCATTGCCAACACACTATGCCAAACTGCAATCGCTTGGTGTCTTTCACCTAGGTTACTGTTGACAGCAGGGGCATTGTTTTCATCTCTTCTCTTGATACCCAGCGTAACACATTGCTATTCAAACCAGGCTTGCAAGTCAGTGTGTTACGTGTGCATGCGTGCGTACGTGTGCGTTACCGCGTTAGCACCTCTTTGTCACATGTCAATACTCACGCGTGATCATCGTCAACTGTCCCCCGAGAATATTTTATAAAAATGCTTGCGTGACAAGCTCTCTCTGCACACACACATGAGTAGTCGTCCACACTCACGGAATCTACACTTATACGCACAAAATAATCTCCAATGTGAACAATCATTTCATACAAAATTGGTAGACTTTGTGTGCTTATACTGTGGACGGTGATGTTTCAATTGCTCTTGTTGATGTTTTCGCGTTTGAGTGCCGTATGCATAAGCCAGTCACGCATGACTGAACAATGAATGCATCAAATCTTCTCCTCTCGCCCCCGCTGTTTGCAGCCATTTTGATGCAACCCCCCTCCGACGAAAAGTCCTAGCAGACGAGTGCGAATGAACCGGGGATAGTGTGAAATAATGTAGTTCAGAAGAATAAAAACGAACAGCAAAACACAGCACCAGCCTCGAATTTGATACTGTGCCGGGGTAACAAGCTCCCATAATGTACAGTCTCTCTACAACAATCCCATCCCTAAATGACATGCGTGGGCAGCAGCAGTCTATGGTGGAAAACCTATTCTGTCAATGTCTGGTACACCCGTTCCCTGTTGGATTGTACCATTTTGTATCTGTACTGTTTTTATTCGTGGTGGATAAACCAGCTGACTGAAATTAAAAGAGCGCGAGAACGGTTTTTCAGTGATATACATATATCTTTTACGTTAAGTAGTATATGAATGAGTGGACGAAATTTCACTGGAAGCACACGACCGGTTTTGCGTGCTTCCAGGGAAATTTTGTCTAGTTACGCATATACTAATTTTTCAAAAACATATTCACTAAAAACGCTTAAGTCGCGTTTGTTGTGGTTAGTAGTATCTGATTCAACTAAAAATCATCTAATCGTATGACTGATTTTTCAATGAACTGGTTCTGAAATAACTGTCGAAACGAATTTGCCCGGTGTTACAAACGAGGTTATGATAACGACAACAATATACATGCAAGTATACGAATGACCAGGCGTGAAATTACCAGATACACATCTTTTCTTTATTTTATTTATCTTCCTGACTTCGTTTCATTGAATATACAGTGATGCAGATTTCAGGAATGAAGAAGTCCTGCGGTATTGATGGGGTTCGAACACACGTCCTCCGGGGTGATCATTCTGGACGGGGGGGATGAGGGCTTTTACCACCGGACTACCACTACCCATCCGATGAGTATCAAAAACTACGAAGCTGATCATGTGTTGAATGGGAAATTTCGTCCTATCATTTCCAACATATTACTCATCAAGTCGTACTCAGTGAACTGTGTTACTGATTAAAAGAGATTACGATGAGATTTAACTTTACTTTTACGAATATCTTCCTCTGCTTTTTCAAAGCGGATTCCCCAGTTCAAACTCAGCTGGTCGGTTGGGTCGAAACAGCCGAAAAGCTTTATTTTTTCATAGTTAAAGTGTAACTCTTGTGTACATAGAAATCTTAAATTAAGCATATCCCGTTCAGATGCCTTGGTCAGTGGGGATTGTAGCCAGCAATGGGAAATGTGTAAAACGCCCCCATTAACCCTCAGTTATCTTCCTGCGGTCGCTCTTGTACCTCGGAATTCACCTAGTCTTAAATCCAGGTGTATCCTGTTTCGCCTACTGTTGAACACGCACACACAGTGTACATATGCAGTCATTTGTACATCTGGGTTTGTTTTTTCGTTTTGAATATTTGAAAATTACCAAATTTATATTGTTTGAAATGATTTCTAAAAGCACCGTTTTGCACAAGGAACTCCGTTCAATAAGACCAACAGTGAAACGCTTTAATTACCCTGGTTATTAATGATATTATTATTAAGCCAATTCTTAGCTGCACTAAGTGTGATACACTCAACAAACTTGTAAAAATGAGTTGTGCTTTATTGTAAAAAGGCAATGTGAAGAACGGTATGACCGGCTGTCGGTCAGTAATTAAGTGCATAGTATCTTTGTGTCCTGCCTGTGAGGTCTCAATTTCGAAACCCGTCCTCCAGTTGGGTCGATGGATTATTCAACTACTGATGAGACAGCTTCATGTCAGAGTATCCGTTCAATGCATCTTAACTTTTCAGTTCACGTTTCATTTCTTCAATGTGTAACAAAGTCCACTATAAATTATTCTCGGTTATTATCTTATCCTCACTGGTGCTTACAGCTTGCCGTTTAGACTCCATTCTCGCTTGGAACAAGACGATTCTACTTCCCATTGACCAGTCGATCTCAAACAGTTCTGCATCCGTGTCATACATGCACACACGCATGATTATGCGTTCTTTGAATCATCTAGTTGGCAGCAATTGTGATCTAGCTCAATGAATGAACAATATTAGTTATTTTAACAACTGCCGTGCTCGCGTAATTCAGAAGCTATGTTTGGAGTTCCTACATGTTTTGCTGAGTGTCTTTGTGTTTCTGGTAGTTTCCAAAGTGTTTCAAAGTGTTTAACCTGGCTTTAACTTATCCCTAGTCGTACGGTTTGGATTCCTTCAGTTGTCTCAGTGCCTAACTGCCTAACTCACAGTATGCTTCCATTTCACTCCATAATGCACAGAGGCTTACAAAATACCACATTCATGAATTTCAGAATAATTTCCAACTCAATGCAAGGCGGTACTTTGTTTAAATAACAGATAATGTATCACTCATGATATTCATGGTCATCAAAAGTTCCTATCTTGCTAAACATTTTGTATACAACTATCTCACCTTAGCTACAAATGTCCCCGGGGGAGCATTTTCCCGCACCGTGAGGATTTGTACCCGGTGCAATATCGGTCCGGTCAGCATCGGATCGTTTACCAGGCCACTGTGATAGTGCTCACCGGGATTTGATCCCAGGCCACGAACCTCAATATTTGGAGCTTCGTCGTTCACGTCCAACACGCGGATGTGCACTGTCAGGGTACCTGTGCGCGATGGCCTACCAGAATCTGTAGCCAATATCGGTAATTCCAAACTGCGTGGCCCCAATTCGTAATCTAACGGATGAAGCAGCATAAGCCAACCGTCTGCGGCATTAATGCGAATGAAACGTCGCGCTTTCAGATCCGCACTATTTGCAAACGTGTATTGAATACCCATAGAGGAGGAAGCTGATGAGGTCGGCGATCTACCCGTCCCGGTCCCAGGGCGTATTCCATCTGAAGCACCGGGGACGGTATCGGCGTCAGTTGCCAAAACTTGATATAACCGGCTGCCTACCGGTATATCCTCTGGTACTTCTAGTATCACAGTTTGTGTATTTCCTATCGTTATTTGTTCCGCAGGTCGTAACGAGCTGGTCTGTCCGGAGGGTGGATAGTCTAAATGAACTGCGGGATGCAATCGTGTTGCAGATGAGGATGACGAGCCAGGGAGAATTTGAAATACTGGTGAGTATTCGTTCACTTCACGGACATTCAGTGTGATTGGTAATTCGGTGAATCTTTGCATCTCCTTGATCGGGCACTGATCCCGTGCAATCAGTGTGAGACGATGTTGCGATTTGGTCTCGTAATCCAACGGATGACGAGCAAATAGTCGTAAACGTGTGACGCGTCTCGGTCGATTCAATGGAGTCAAACTAAGGTTTGGACTGGAAATGTGATCACTGCCAGAAGCGCCTACCATTTCAGCATCCAATTCGAACGCGTCCGCATCCGGGCCCTAGAGGTTAAGGAGGAAAACGGAAGAGTAGATACAAATTAATCTGTATTTTTTCATTTAAAATACTTTTAGAGAGAGAGGACAGATGATCTAGGTTGCACGACTAAGTTCACAGTTGCTCCACTGTTCTCAGCAAAACTCAGGAGCGTTCAAGGTCATTTAGTGTGCTCGGGGGAGATCTAAAACCATAATAACCTGGATCTTGTATAATTAAATAAAAAGATACAATTCGATTCATAAGAATTGTGCAAATTGAAACACATAGGCACCGAATTCGCTGTACTGAATTTCTGTGATTCTGTGATGACATGGCCAGTGAAAATAGTTGGATGATCAAAGTGAACACAACCAGTCTTGTAGCTTTTTTCATCTAGACTCATAGCTGGAAGCTCCCTCGTTTCGAGCTCCGGTACCGACCTCATGAGAACAGATTACCGAAAAATTGCATCAGGGATGACACAGTGGTTTAGAGTTATTGGTCAGTGACTGTCTCATTCGGCAAGCCGCATCTAGTGAGGAAAGGTCTGAAAGATTGAAAGGTTTCACCAGTACTGTTACCCAGTTATTATTCTAACATGAAGTTGAATTTGAACAGTGCAGACTCAGTTTTGTGTAAAAATTTATAAAATACAGGAGATTCAAAGAAAGTGATTGCTACCGTGAATTGCTGGAAACGACGGATCGCCTAATATTCAGGTTTTTGGCCTATATTTTGTTGGTAAGAATCAAGTATTTCTTTAAGTCTCTAAAGATAGATAAACTTAACACCAAATTGCATCCCTAATGCCCCATTAAAAGCGATAGACGTACACTCCATCCTCGTTGGGACTCATAAATAGTGTGTGGTATTTTCGCGTTCCTGGCGGGACTCGAACCGTTGATCATGCGGCTGGGAATCGAAGCTCTGATCCCCAATTAGCACTGCCAACCCCCAACATAATAAACGTACAGCTGCAGAAGTTAATAATGAGATTTGACTGCCCATACAAGCCGATGAAATTCAGGGTCTGCATATTTTCATCTTAAGCGAGTCTTGTTTGTTAGGAGTTCATTGATTCCCCAATTTATATGTGAAACTGAGACTGGTTTTCTAAAGAACATTTATTGATGATAATCTGTACAATGATGAGTCGTGGTACGAGGTGATTTACTGCGTTCCAGTTCAACTGGTGTGTGTCTCATTCTACCAGTTTGCATTTCGACTTCTAATTTCGCGAGTTTATTGACGGTGGAAATCGAACTGGATAATGGACTTTGGTATTCACAAACCAAACCATGAACCAATGATAGGATAAACTGATAAGCTAAAATTTCCAACATGCCACACAAGTGAATGTACTTCCTACTGTGATTGGTTTACTTTATTTTACATCGAAATTCGTGCCAATAGTGATTCGTGAGCATTTCTAAGACCCTGGGGTGACTGATGAGTACCTTTTGGTGGTATATCACGCTGAGCTTTCTGAAAAGCTAACCATAATAGTTAAATTCTGGTGAAGGTGCGTACCGTTCCGGAAACGATTGAACGATTAGGAATCAACCTACGACTGATTAATAACAGTGGTATTTATTTACCTTTATTTCAGATGCAAATGACTGCACCCATCAATTCGTGTGTGTTCTCTTTGATTTAAATAAACTACTAACCATTCGGTCCGATTCTGAGTTGACGTAATTTCAGTTTGTGTATTAGGTTCTTCCCTTGGACACGATTTCGCTTATCAAACCGAATTCAACACTATACTGTCTATAAATCTCCATTAGGCTAAAAAGTTAGCCTAAAACCTTCAGGTCAGGGAGCCATGTGACGTAAGATAAACCTTCAAAATCAAACAAGGTCGGTCCGAATGGACGAAATGGGTTGCGTCATCGAGGAAAATGGGATAAAATAAAACTAGTTTAACGGCACGAACAAAATCGAACCAGCTACGTACTGAAAGCATCAGCATCATTTGCAATGTTAAACCCATTATGAAATCAGGCACTCAGGAATTCGTACGTGGTCAGGCTGAGGTCAGTCAACGATTCAATTTCCTGTCATTCTCTAGTTGAATTTTAATCCTTATATTCGTTTGTGCAATGAATGGGACTAGGAAGTTATAGAAAAATGTGTTCTCTAACACTGTGTGAGATCTTCATCTACCCGATCAGTTTTTTGAACGATTCAGCGGAAAACGCGTTGATTCTACCAGACTGTATCGGTTGGTTTTCCCATGGATGTATAGAACAGTGCTTACACAGTTGCATTTGCGCCGTTCTATGATGCCACACAAAAAATCTATTTACACTTAACGAAGTTAGGAAAGTACAGCAATGTATACACTCTGAGAGCGGAGTGATGTGCGCGACAATTTACCGTTGTAATTTGATCACTTTAAAACACGGTAATTAGCTTATCACCTCAGGGAATTCGATATCTCTAAAGAACCACAGTTTCTCAAAAGATGGGTGTCGAATGTGGCGGATAAGTTGTGGATGTTCAACCATGATGAACCGAAATCGTCAACTCCTGATGAGTTTACATCGGTATGATCTATGGGAGGTAGTTTGAGTTGGGACGAATCAGTGGTACCAATGAATATATAACTCTAGCAACAAATTAATGGCTTAAGCCATTTGCACGCCGACAACTACAACCGTCCAAGTTTGGTGAAGAACATAAAGCGGATTCAAGGTGAATGTGATGGTCCACGAGTGAAACGGAGCTCTATATAACAATATGGTCACTTGTTTGTACCCGTCTGATAGAGTGCCTCTCCTCGCGTTTTTCTTTAGGTGTGCAAAGTGCGACTGAGGGAACAAAAATGTTTCCCTATTAGATAGCCCATTCGTTTCCCAACCCACGAGTTGACATCGTCTAACGGATTTTGGAAATTGAAAATCCCTTGGGTTCATTAGCCTAATTTGGCGACACCGAAGTCGATGAACGCGGAGGAAGACAAAGGGGTCACACACATGTACTGGGTGTATGAATAAAAGAAGGGAAAAAACATAAGCGTGACAGTGGAAATAGCGGATTCATTCAGTAAACACTTGATTTTGCATTTAGCATCACAGTTTGAGTATTTTTGAACGGCGGAAGTAGGATTATTGGAGCTCTATTAACAAATGCCCATTGTCAAGGTTAAACATTCCTTGAATTCTTCCCCAAGAGAAGGAATCCGGACTCGGATCAAAGTGCCAATGCCCATTCCGATAAGGACAGAGTGAATTAGCTATCAGGACATCAGTAAAATTAAAGAGATGACTAATATCACATCCTAATGATACATCAGTATATATCGGAAGCTTCACCAGGCTGGGGCCAAGCTACTGAGTGAAATTTAGTAGCGGTTCATGTGCGCTTTTATCCGATGAAACGGTCAATTGTCGATGAGTGATCGCAACTCACAGGTTTATTCACACACCCTCCAGCATGGTCTGTGCATGTGTCAAGAAAGGCTGACGGCGGCCCAGGAAAAGAAAATGACATTCATCAAACATTGCTAAATGAACTTAACAGACGGATTCAAAGTGCATTCGGTTTGACTCAACGCGCCAGGTCTGAATTTTCGGGAAACACACGAACAATGCACGCGTCTCAATCCACCTGAGAGAAAGTTGGCCGCTTTAAGTATAACAAAATAAAAAGAGCGTTATCTTCGAACTGAATATTTTCAGAGACGAACAAATGGACTAAATTATAAACCACTGACCATGAAGGAGTTGAAAAATGCTGTGAAAATATCCTCAAACCACCAATTTCTCCGGTCACAAATTAGCTCGGCAGCTCTCCTAAGGATAAAAACGTTTTTCACGCGATAGATCTAGAGTTCAAATCCCAGAGAAATCGATTTACGTGATCCAACAGGGGTAAAAGTTGGATTGCATTATTAACTATGGAGAAAGTATGGATTGTGCAAGTGTAGGGAAACACTTAAGTGTGAGCAATCGTATTCAAAAGAATTTAACCCACATAATCACTTTCACGTTACTGTGAGCTGGTGAATTTGTGATAACCCTTCGTACGTAATCTACAATTTTCTATCCATATCCCTCGGTAAACATGATAAACCCCGATCCAATTTCGTTACAACAATAGTTGGAAGAGACTTAGTTTCTGACGCCATAGTCGCGCGTAAACGTCCAATGTGTCCGGACTACCTGAGCAGCATCAATTTGAAAAGTGTTCAGTTATCCGATTCTCACTCAATAATCAATCAAATTCAAATTGCGATAAGAGTAAAAACTTGATTTCACTCAATATTAGTATGTATTTGAAAGAAACATACTCATCATAGCACAGTCATTCATTCATTCATTGATTCATTCGTTCGTTCGTTCGTTCGTTCGTTCAGTCAGTCAGTCAGTCAGTCAGTCAGTCAGTCAGCTGCAGTCAGTCAGTCA